CTGTTACTGTTATAGGCATACGCACAACGCACACAACTACGGCCATAAAAAGGAAATTAAGAAAACATTTCAATTAAAAAAGTAACAGAAACCAAATAAACACATACACCCGCACAAACACAATTAAGCCTGTTGTCAGCATTATGTATTTAGGTGCGTATGTGCTTTTTTGCAATTTATATCTTGTATATATGCATACATATATACGACTACTGCTGAAGAAGGTAAAAAAATTCAAAATCATGTCCCTTTTACTAAGAAGAAGAAAAGAAGAAGTGATCAAGTGACCAATAAACAGAAACGAAACATTTTGGAAATAAGAAAAAAAATAAAATAAAAAAAAACACACGCACGCAGAGACCTTAAACAACAAGTGGATGAATGTATAGTAGGGTATGTATGTTGTGCTATGATAATGATAGTGTTTGCTGATAATGATGTTGTTGTTGTTGTTGTTATTGTTATTGTTATTGTTGTTGTCATTATTGTTGTTGTCATTGTTGTTGTCGTCGTTGTTGGGCTCTTTCAATGTTAGCTGGGATAGCCATGGAGAACTGAATGTGCCGCCAAGTTGATTGGATTGCTCGATAGCTTTGATAGTTTCTTAGCTTAATACACACACAAGAGTAAATGCCGTACATGCTATATACACATACACGCCGGCACGTACACTTAAATATATAAGCGCAACACATACACCGGCCATACCTATATAAACACTCACATGCAATTAAGCAAACAAAAAATACGAAAAAAGAGAAAAAAAAAAAACTTTACTACGGACAAACAATAAAAATAAAAGAATAAAAAATTAAAAAAAAAAAAAAAAGGAAAAAAGAAGAAAAAAACAGAAGAAAGCCGAGCGATACTGTTGACAAGGGGAACCTAATACTGTGCATATACATAGTTTAAATATATAAAAACATTTTTATGAATATTGTATGTAATATAAGATTGGTCCATGTTACTTACTTCACAAGCTTTATTTTCTTAACATCTATTTTAAACTTCATTCTTATACCCACCCACCACACATTCGCAACACCTACAAGGAAGCCTTGGCGATCCCGTAAAGTACATATATTCTATGATGGGTAAACATTCTTTCGATCATAAAAATTGAAATATCTCTTTTCAAGCAATGACAAAGCAATGGCAAAATGTACTCCACATGTTGGTATAGTTAATGCACTATAGAGGATAAGTAACACGCGCACCGTACAACAACCTCTGCTTTCTGGAGCTTGCTAACACATTTGCACGCATATTCACAGGCTTATCCATCCTGTCTATATCTGTAAAGCATCGAATAAAATCCGCCACGCCCAGCCAATATATTATGCAGAATTCACGAGTTGACCTTTTTTGAGTCTTTTTTTTTTGCAGATGATTGCGTGGATATGAAAACTGCAGCTAAAGCTGGATAACATTTTTTTGTTGCTGTTGTTGTGATTCGAAAGATATACTCAGAACCGGGTGAGGAATAAATCAAATTTAAATCTATTTGAATTTGAAAATCAATAGTGCTCCAGATGCCTGTGATATGCGTGCAAGTATTATATAAGATACGAAATGTCTTTCCTATGCAATGAAAATGATTGGCCGTCCGTTGGCCGGTAAAAAAATCGAAATGTTTTACTTTAGTTCCGTTAAATTACATCAGGTGAATGCGTACGTAGGACTTGAGATGATTAATGAAAACTGGGACAATGTTTATCGTTTTATGTTTACCAACGAAAAAGTCGGCTTAGTAACTTTGTACTTTACTTTCTTTACATTTAGAAATGCGTAACGGGAACCACATAGAAAAATTTCTAAGTTGGTTTGATCTTGTTTGTTTACGCGTCCATCCTTTTATCCATTCCCTCCTCCATCCATCTTTACATCTATCAATCCATCCGTCGGTCTATATATCCATCTTTCGTCCTTTTTATTCAGAGCTCCAAAAATTACAACAAACAGCTAGATGCATTAGACCATAGGTCGAGCTTGAGAATAGAGAGACTTAGCCTCGAGTCATTTTCAATAGTATTCGTCCTTGATCCAAAACTCGTCGAAGTATGAAATTTTTGCAAGTATATCAAGAACCGGGACCTGTGCGTTAAACACGTGGAAACCAGGCGGAGAGCTTAAATGGATTCTGAATCGATTGGTAGGAAAGCATCTTCTAATTATAACGCGCAAAAGAGCCGATGATCTTATTTGCTAATGTTCATCCTAGTTTTTAATGTACACGTACGCTAAAAAAAATTATCGTAAAAGAATATCATCCTCAGATGTATGCAAAAAATTGCCTAAAATAGATATTAGAAAACAAAAAAAAAAAAAAACAAAAAAAGAATTTTGAACCAATCCAATGCTTGTATGCATTCTACGACAAGTAGGGAAACTTTTGTATGTTCGGAATTTGAAGTATTGAATGCTACAGAGCAATTAAACGCTTTTAAAAATGTTTGACTTAAAAAAAAAAAAAAAATAAGAAAAAAGCACAAACAAAAAAAGCGAAAAAGTCAAAAATAAAAGAAAAAATTTTATCAAAATAAAAATACAAAAAAAAAACAAAAACAAAAAACTTAAAGAGAAAAAAGTTTATTCTGCATTTAACTATAACAGCAGTGATGTTATTTAACGTTACGAAATGCGAAATGCATTTGTCAACCATGCTTTCCTAAAAGCAGGGGCGCATCTATTCAATCCCTTTTTTTATTCCCCGCTCCCCGTTTCGCTGAAACGATTGCCAAGCTTATGAAATTTCAAAAGTAATAGATAGTAAATCTCTCTCTCTCTCTCAGAGTATCGTTTAACGAATGACAATAGCTCTGAAAATAAAATTCATCTTTGAAGGAATGTCTTTCATTAGCGAATTACCAATTAAGCCAATAAAATTCCCCTTTGGAAGAGATCAAAGTTTATCAATAGACGGAATCCCGGATATTTTTCCCGGTTTTAATTGTCATCAAGATCCACACAACTGATCTCAGTCCAAACATATTGAGCAGATTTGAAATATTTGGCACGTTTTCGACTGTAGGTCAGTGTGTAAATGCATCACTAACGCCCTTAGTCTCACTTATCATATGATTGCCATTGGAGTCGTGACTTCCTTACTAAATATTGACTTTGCATCAAAGGCGAGTAGAAGGAGAGTATCTGTGTTAGGAATATTAAAACATTTTGAAATCTAATCCTAACGAAGTATACATCGCATGCCACGCCAGATATCCAATAATAAATAATGCTTAGTAGAATAACTAGATTTCGTGAAGGTGATGATGGAGGTTTTAAAAAGATCAATCAGTAAAAGATATAGGTATAGGAAAAGACCCAAAGAAATCCGACTTCCATAACTCTTATTACTTGCATCATTGTACGCGAAAGAATTCTGTTCATTACGAAGCACGGGGCAGTAAAAGAAAATTATCTTTGGTGACAAATGTTTTGTTTTTTTCATGCATCCCGTTGCCATTTATGCATTAACTTTAATTGTAGAGTCGATTGCATTTTCCATACCATGTCAAGTCAGACAATCAATTATCTGAGCGAAATGAAGAAGAAGAAGCGTAAGGCGTAATACCATCGAGCGCTATCGCATATAAGATTTACGCTTTCAGTTTTCGTCCTTTCATTTTGTCAGATATAGTCAGGTGGTTTTTTTTTTTTTTTGCCTCAAATCTCTCTAATGCTTTAAATAAAGAAGCAAACTTCTTTTCGCTGCCTTAATTCTCTGTTCTTATCTACGGTCCTGTGCTATTGGAAAGACACTTTTGTTTTTGTTTTTTTTTTTTCTTTTCTTTTTCCTTTTTTTATTATTATTATTATAACAAGTCGAAATAGTCATGCCGGGTATAGTGCGTATATAAATATGAATGTTTGTATGCTTCAGACAGAATACACATGCTGTTTATTGTTATTGTTGTTATTATTGTTGTTGTTGTTTTTATTTGTAAATTTAATCTGCTTTTTACATCGAGAATACATGCGAATCGATTAACACTTCAACACGAAACAACAAACGGCATTACAAAAAAAAAAAAAAAAAAAAGAAGAGAAACACGGCGACAACAATGGAAGCTGTGAGATCTGATGCCTCACTTTTTTTTGGTTTTTTTTTTTGTTTTTTCTTTTTCTTGCTTCTTTTTTTTATATATATATTAATGCATTTAATGTTGACCACGATGGGACGATGTCGGCGGCGTCGACAATATACAATTTTAGCTTATGGTGTATTTGTATTCGTTTTAACTTTTTTTTGTTTTTTTTTTTTTTTGTTTTTGTTTTTATTTCCTTTTTTGCATGCATGAGATCTGCACGCCACAAACTATTAAAATGCGTGCACGCGTCTTAATGCGGGTCACGATCACGACCACGAAACAACAAATATTGCATTTATTTTATTACAAACAAAAATATGCTCGTGTATGCATTTAGGCATCATAATATATGAGAGCGTGTACTGCGTATGCATGTATGTATGCAAGTGTGTATGTGTTTGTGTGTCTGTGTGTGTGTGTGTGTGTTGTATATTGTTATATTGTTGATGACAATCATTAATATGATAATGACGTTGAAAAGCACATTAAAAGGGATAATGTGTACCAGAATATATTTATGCTTACGTGAATATGAGCTGGTGTATGTGCATGTTCGCGCACACAGATATTTATGATATTTTCTTAATTAAAAAAAAAAAAAAAAAAAAAGAAAAAGTGATATATATTCAATGTTTATGTAAATCATATTGCCTGAAATTATCTTATATATATATGTGTATATGCGACTGTGCGTGCATGCGTATATACAAGTGTATATGTGTGTTTATGTGTGTATAAGAGATCTAAGCAAAATATTTATGCTTATTTCACACGCTAGGCATTTGCACTTATATTTGCATCTCTCTGCAGAAAACCTTAATCCGATATATTTCGCTGCGCGGTGTATGCATGAACTAACTCATGCACATGCATGTTATATATATATATGCTTATGTATGACTCACACACAAGAATTGTAACATTCAGAAATTGGGACAAATTACACAGAAATGCATTCGTGATTTGCCGGTAATTTTTCGTTAATACGAATTTTACGAATAACAAGCGAATAATCTCTCATCGTAGACGTCGTCTTACATCAGCTTAATCACCCTTATGTGTGTGATGGCCGACCTTTTTCTGTCTTTTCTTTTACTATTTTTTTTTTTTCTTTTTTTTTTTTTTTTATCTCACTTTCTCCACACTGTCTGTTCGTTTAATCTAATTTGTTGTCAGTTTTGAATTGCAACGCACTTTGTTTGTTTGTTTGTTTGTTTTTAATTTTTTATAGATTTGCATGCCAATGCACGGTAAATGTGCGTACATTTAGTCATACACACATAAACTCATTAACATAAATACACACGTTTTACATAGTGCTACTACTTATCGTGATGATGATAAACCTGTAAAGTATTTTTTATTCTATTTTTTTTTTTTTTTTTTTTTTTTTTTTTTTATTATTTTAGTTTTATTTTTATTTTTTCTTACTTAAGTCTATCGAATCAAACCGACGCATATATCGCTTATATCGAGATACAATTGGTTGCGTTTTACTTTAATAACATTTGTAACAGATACATGCATGCGTACACGCACTCTAACCGCTTATTCATAGGCATTCATTTGCTACATAAAATGTAATTTACATGTTTTTTAACCATTTCGTAATTTGCCGAAAAGAAGAAAACAAAAAAAAAAAAAAAATAAACAATCACATGATATTTTCTTAGTTTGCAAAATATATTTAGATTTATTTGATTTATTCAATGTAGTAAGTAATTCGGACGTATCCGTGTTTTTAACGCGTTTATTTTTAATTTTTTTTTTTTTATATAATTTTTTTATTTTAATTTTTTTTTTTCCTTTTTATTTACCGTAATTTATTGATTGACTCCGTTAAGACATCCGATTTGTTGCTCCTTCTAAAACAAACTGATCGATTATAATACCGACAACTGCGTATAGTTGTCGTTGCCGTTGTCGTTAACGTTGCTGTTGCTGCTGCTGCTGCTGCTGCTGCTGCTGCTGCTGTTATTGCGGCTTTTGCTGCTGCTGCTATATTGCTATTGCTGTTGATTTGCTATACGCAGCTTTGATTTTTGTTTTGACTGCATTGTATTGCAGATTGTACAACAACAAAAATGCCAACAAAAATACAAACATTATTTATAAAATAAAATTAAAAAAAAAAAAAAAAAAAAACAGTAAAACTAAACCAATATTAAGGAGAATTTTATTGCGATGTTGTTATGTTGCTTATGCGTGATATATTTATGATCTCGCTTACTCACACTCTCTCCTACTTTATACAATTCTCTCTGCTTTCTCTACACGCATAAATACTTTCGCTCGTTCTCTCCCTTCTTTGGCAATATTTGAACTCAATTTTTATACATAAAATGGGTTTTTATTTTTTTTTTGTTTGGTTTTCTTTGCAGTGCATGCATAAAAATGTTTTACGCACAAATTTTTGTTTGTTATTATTCTTCTCGCCGTTATCTACATATATTTGCATTCATTTGCATGTATTTAGGCAAACGAATCCGCGTACACGTGCAACATGGACTTAATATAACGTAAATTGTAAATGCATACAATGTCGTTTACCTACACATGTACACCGTGTTATCAGACATATTCATTCATTCAAATTATAGTATTACACAGATACTCTTACCTTATGCGTGCAGTACTTTCCAATTAAATGCCATCACCGTATACAACATTTTAATATTAATATAAAAAGAAAAAGAAGCGAACATAATATAACATATACATATATATAGCATGCAGGTAAATGGGGAACATAATTTTTTTTTGATTATTTCATATTGCTCGCACACAAAAAATTGTTATTTCTTCTCTTTTTACGAGAAGAGATTGAACACAAGAATATGTGGACAGACATTAGACGAATGAAAGACGATTCAGAAAGTGATTCTAAATCGATCGACATAAGAAAAAGTGGGTATATCCTAAGTTTTTGTGTACATTGCTTGCATCCACGGTAATATATCATGTATCACACACGATGTAGAGTATAGTTGAACATATATTGTTGTAGTTATGTTTATGTTTGTTCATACTGTGTTTGGATAAATAAACGAATTTAAATTATAGCAAACAAAAACAATGTTTCAATTATTCCCATGATACTCCTAAGTGCTTAAGAGGCACATCATGATATGATACGTTATAATTATTATTCTTATTATTATTATTAATTTCGCCAGAGAAATAAATTCTAAGACTAAAACTCTTAAGGGCATCAGCATCTAAGGGTATCGGCTTTTATTAAAAACTCTACCGCACTTGAGATTCGAACCCACGACCATTGACTTGGCTAGTCGAGATTCCTCGCCTTCCTCGGCTACTCAGGCGGATTCTGTTCTAATTAAAATTATATACCCTTATCAGATGAATGGTAAAATCAAATTAGTCATATCTGATCAGATTGTCTATCTTTTTCACCCTTGATGTACACATTTGCCCCATCTTTCGTTGCAATCAAATCAAAAAAATGCTCGCAATTTGATCTAAAAATAATTTTATCGCTCGCTGTCTGAGATATATTCAAAAATTGTCAAACTCGATTCGTGAACTGCACTTATAAGTGGCAGAAAACTTGAAAATTTCCAATTGTCTCAACTACTACTACTACTACAAAATTGTTGTCTGTAAGCCTTAATAAGAAGTGTTCGAGCATCAAATCGCTAATCGAATTTTCCACTATCGGTTTGAAAATTAATTAATTCGTATCAAAGATGCGCTTTTAATTACACAGAGCTAGAATTGTAGAACTTATTCTTCTAACTTCAGTCTTCAGTATCACTCAACATATGATTTCTTTAATTATAAAATACAAATGAATGGAAATGAAAGGGAAAATTTATTTTCTTTATTATTTTTTATCTATTATTTTTTTTTTACCAATTCAACTTTTTCCTTAGCTTGTGCTCTATTGCTATAATTTTCCTTCCATGATGTTTCTCAGGTTCTCCACAAAGTTCTTTGACTCGTTCGCTCTTTATTTTATAGTCAGACCACTTTTGTATATTCTGTTTGCATCTTTATATTCGGAACTGTTTTAGTTGCAATATGCACTAAAGGCCTCTACAGGACGCTTTAAAATGTATCTGATGAAGGGCCTATACAATGCCGCTATACAATAGAAATACCATAAGCACGGCAATCTTGATATAATAAGATATGTTTTTGAATCGAAGTAAATATGTGCATGAGCATGTGTCTCCTTATATGCCACAATGCAAGTTGGTGGCAATTCTGAAAACAGTAAAGTTTTTCCGGAAGACATCTAAACTTCGACAAATAAAAGTTTCAATGAATTTTGCATAGGAGTCTGAGAATGAACTCTGAAAGCTAAGAATTATTTTTATGCACAATTTGAAGCGAGCTCCTAACCCAACTTTTTGATATATTTTTTGTCAAAAGAAGACAAAATTCTATTTAATGAATTGAAAAATTCATATTCTTATGTATTGTAAGACGAATTCTTTTTTATAATAAATTGTTTTCAGGCGAAAGAATTGTTGTTCAACTTTGAATAGTCTATGTCATTACCGGTAAATTATAAAACTGCTGATCATTTTCCAGTCGTTTTTTTTTTTTTTTTTTTTTTTTCTCAATTATTGAATAAAGTTTTTTTTTTCACGTAATTCGAAACGATTTGTTTTGGAAATGCGAGTTCAGTTTATTAAATTTCAAATTATAACTGAAAAATTTTGTTCTATCAGACAATTCGGAGACGACAAGAATCAAATATACATATATGTGTATATATACATAATGTAAACTTCTTAACCTTGACTTTGTCAAAATAAAATCCGAAGCATTGAAACCAAAACGAATTTTTGATTGCGCGAAATTTGCTTTTGTGGAATAATTAATTAATGTTTTTCATTGGAAAATTCGGATTTTGAATTGGCTTCAGGTTGTCTGTCCATCTATCTATATGATTGTGATAAATCTATAGATTGCATATTTTCAAAATATTTTAATGAATTTTCGGATATTGACGTGCTTGGTCTCAAGGACGAATGCAATGGAATTTCGATCGGACTATTTTTTCGCACACACTCTCCATATCTGCTGTATTTTAATAAGTCCTTATAAGAAAGAACATTGTTGACAAAAAATCGCTTACTAATGTAATATTTCGAGATTCTAAATTGATGTGAAAACTTTGACTTGGATGAAACAATTTTTTCAACTCCTTACCATGTAATCGTTCTTAAACGTAACTAATTGTGAATACTTCTTAATGAATGTTGCTTCGTAATAATGATTTATCTTTCAAAATTTACTTAAACCAAAATTTGGACCACGGAGAACTATTTTTTCGATCCCAGCCAATATAAGGGTTCTAATGAAATATAACACTTTATATATCAAAAAGGTCGAATTTTGTTACAAATTTGACTTTAATAAATCAATCATAGCGTATTTGGACCACTAGTAGATCCATTTGTTAGATCACACAATTTTCATGAGAGCACACATTTCTGTAGCGTGAAAGCCTAATTTGTAATTTGTTACGATAAAGCAACTGGAATATAATAAAATCTTTGATAAGTAAACTAAATTTCCTGGGTTCAGGCCACATTGACATTTGTATATTTTCCAACATGAGGGCTTTGATGAAATTTGTGCAACAACGTATCTTTTTTGGTGTATTATTAATTGTGCGAAGTTGTGCGGAATATCTAAAGGGCGACTTTATCCTGGCATTCTTACTTGTTTTCACTTGATCTTTTTAATATTCAGGAGTTTTCTGCCGGGCACTCAGCGCATAGATTCCATCCTTCTGTGGACACTATGATTTTCTTTTAAACATTACAAGAATATTTCGTATGATGAAATATTTTCTTCTCAAGTAGAAAACCGACGCTTACAACGCTGAATTAAAAGATCGCAATACTTGTATATAAAAAAGACGAAGGACTGTTACTTGCATAGCGTATTGGATGAAAAATTTTAGATGCTACCTTTGATTAGTAAACCGAACGTTTGTAATCTTTTGATTACGTTCATTATTCCGTAGTCATGCTAGCCTCTAAATATATTAAGTGCGCGTCTGTTTTTCATTCTTTAAGAATGATTTCGTTAAGCAATTCTTCACCTACAACGCTATGGAGCGAAAATATTTTATAATAAAATTAGGGCATTTATGCCTACATGGCATGTTACGTTTGCCAAGCTACCATACATTTCAATTTAAAAATTGTTCACTTCGCCAACAGGCAGGGAGTTTTTAATTTCCTTGTTGTTGGGTTTACAAAAAAAAAAAAAAATATAGATCAAATATATCTATCTGTGTGTATTCTGATGGTTAAGCGGGTCGTGAACTTTTAAAACATACGCATCGAAACTTTGTTCTGTCGTTTTTTTTTTTTTTAAGATAATTCAGATATTTACGTTCGGAGGTATACTCGACGGTAATGCAACGGAGAAATAACAAAACTGACTTTCTATTTTACAGTTTTAAGAGCTTATGTGAATAGCAAATGTCAGTCAGTGAGACTGGCAGATTTTTGATCAAGACCATGGGTGTGTACATGACGGATTCTATGATTTGTATTTCTAAACAAAGTTAATATTATCTCTTAAAGTAAGTTAAATTAATTGCCATTACTACGTAAGAAGAAAAGGAATAATTTGCCTATAAAAGTTTATTTTCATGCTTTCTCGAACTTTTTTTAATATTTACATATTTCTTGTTAGGTGTGGTTTGGCATTACCATGGAATACAAATTTCATATAAACAAAAAAAAAAAAAAAAAAAGATTCTTTAACTAAATGCTTTCTCTACCGCACCACGCCTCATTTACAATATAACCTTAATTAAGAGAATGCAAAAGACACTCAAAAAAACTAAATTTAATTCTCCCCTTCTGTTGATGATTTTAAACGCCTCCTCACAAAGCTGAGCAACGGACAGATGTGAGGAAATCATTTCAATAGTTCGTGATAATCAAAACTTATAACTATAAAGAAATAAAGCTTATGATCATTATATAGCTTTTTATTACGATATCAGCAAATGATAATTTCTATCTTTTTTCTCCTAAATTCTTCAAACAATATTTTTTGCATGTAAAATATTTCATTAATGTAATTTTATATATTTTTTTTATAAACATATATATATATATTTGGAAATATTGCTTACGTTGTAATAGCAATAGGAACCTTAAAACAAATTGTCTTTTCATTATATTCATCGACCACTTGCCAAAGCATTGTTCCACTTAACTAAAATGAATTTTATTTAAAATTAGAATCAAAAAAAAAAAAAAAGGGAAAGAAATTATTATATATATTTAATATCAAACTCACCACTGGAAGATTAGTATCAACATGAATTATGGCCCAATAGGATTTTTACCATTATCCATTCTAAGGCAATCTTTTTGATTATCGCAGGGATCGGGATCGATGTCTGCTTCAGTTTTAATAGCATTAAAAATCCATAGAACTCGATGTTTTAGAAAACTTGCTTTGTTATCTAAAATTTAGAGTCACGTCAATAAGGAAAACAAAAAAAAAAAAAAACCGCAGCAAAACAAAAAACATTTAAAACAATGATAGGATAAATAATGCATTTTTCAAAAGTTATCAATAAAATTTATTTTAGTTCAATTTTGAAATTGTTTTGAATTTCATTACTGCCTATACGCAGTAGTGATACAGAAATTTATGCGCATATACACAACATTGTTTACTTTAGCGCCAGTCCAAACACTCTCGCAATTTTATACATAATTATGCCTCTGCTGGCTATGATTGTTTTGATATTCGTATACAAATTGAAAATATTTCTTGTCGATTATTTATTGTATGCATAAACATTTCGCAGAATTGAAATTTCTCAGGATATCAAATTGCTTACAACATACATATTATGTACGCACGTTTAACTTATTATTTATTATCAAAACAAATTGTCGGGTTGACTGACCGACCGGGTTGACTAATTGACACCGGCAAAGAGCATTCATTATCTTGCATTTGATTTTTATACCCACCGCCGGGAGTATATATATAAGATTTTGTGGTACTTTTTGTATCTCACAAAAGACTCCAGAAAAGATACATAGATATTTTCACTGAACACTATTCCTTATCCGTTTAGTTGTCCATTTGCCAAAAATTCGATTATCATCTCCACCACCGGGAGTATATATATAAGATTTTGTGATATATTTTTGTATCTCGCAAAAGGCGCCAAAAAATATATATAGATATTCTTATTGAACACTATTCCTTATCCATTTAGCTATCCATTTGCCAAAAGTTCG